TCCATCCTTCCTTCCATCCATCCTTCCTTCCTCCCATCCATCCATCCTTCCTTCCATCCATTCTTCCTTCCATCCTCCCATCCATCCATCCTTCCGTCCACCTCCCCACACCCACCTACCCACATACGCACCCTCCACTCCTCCCTTCCTCCATCCCTTCGGCAATGACAGCAGAGAGAGTTTCGGAGCCCGTAAGAAGCATAGAATCTGGGTGAGCATCTCCCCTCGTTGTGTCAAGACTCCAGGCACGTGGAACCGGATGAAGCTCAGAGGCTGGCTTCTGGTTCGCGGACGCGTTCTCATTGTCATTCCCTGTGCGGCCTTATGTCATGACCTTACTGAACTCCTAACCCAACACCACTAGCACTGCTACTTCGTCCACTTTTCGGACACGCAGCCACAGCAGGCGAGCTGGGAGCTGACCCTCTTCTCAGCCAGGCGGCTCTGACTGCTCACGCAGGCCAGTGTACTCTGGGGCAGGGCACCCACACCCCCAGATAGGTGACCAGAAGTGAGTCGCTCAGCCCAGGATGTGGGGTCTTGTCTCCCTCCCCTGCCCCAAGGAAAGGTCTTCACAGGCATGAGGGGCAGACTAGCGGGATGGGGAGGAGACGTCTGGTCCGTCCCTGCTCGCTCTGGTGCAGAGATTTGGGGGAGGACAGTGACACGGCCCCCCAGGCAGCCACATGCTCAGGACAGAGCTCTGCCTTACCTCCAGGGAGACCTTGGGGCTTAACTTCCCAAAGATGAGCTGAAGACGAAACCGACTTCATCAGCAAGCTGGGCGCACTAGAAACGGCTCCGGACAGCATCAAATTTCCTCTCCTGATTGTGGTTCTACAGGGAGGTGGTTTAATTAAACATCTCTTAAAAGCATCTGAAAGCAACAGCAGTGTTGACTCAGACTGTCTGGGCTCCTGTGAGGAAGGGCAGCTCCGCCTGGGACCCAGGAAGGAGCCCGGAAAAGGCTGCCCGGAAACCTCCCTCCAGAGGACCTCAGCGCTGGGGGGAGGTGCTGACCTCGGACACCCGGGGGCCTGCGCGGGAGTCCCCGGCGCTGGGGGTACAGCTCCAGGCCACCCACAGGCACAGCACCTTGGCCAGAGAGGGGCTCTGTGGTGGGAGGTGTGCGGAGGAAATGAAGTCTGAGTTTTCCAGGCAGTAAAGCAGGAGAGACACGGGGAACAGGGAGTCTGCCCTGTCTTGGGGACAGCACCAACCAGAGGGGCCGGACGACTGGGTGTGTCCCGCTGGCTTCCCCTGGCTGACACGGACCGGGGTCATCAGGCTGCACGTGTGCAGTTCATCCCCAGAGAGTGAGCCTGTGGTTTGTGACCCCCTGTGGCCCCAGGAGGGCACCCGGGAGTCCAGACTCCAACGCGCAAAAACCGTACCAGGCAAGGACAGTGGCTCACGCCCTTCACTTACATCTTCTTCAACCTCTGCTGAGCCCCTGCTGTACGCACCAACTGCTCCAGGTCCAGAAAATGCAGGACGCACTGGCCGGGCGTTTCAGCCTAACTGGGCACACACCCGAGGAGTGATGGGGAGTGGCCGTGTCGGGCATGGGGCCCATGGGGCTGGGAGCTCCTGCATGATCAGAACACGTCTTCCCAGGGAGTACCTGGGAGGAAGGGAGGTTTCAAATGGCTTCTTCCTGTCTCAGGACTTAACTTTTGTTCCCTTTTTCCCTCTTTCAAAGGTTCTGATTTTCCAGAGAATCAAGCGTTTAAAGAAAGTGCCTGTTAATGCCTTTGACGGACCCATGCTCCAGATGCCAGGACTTCACGACCGAGCCCCCTGACTGGCCGACAGTGCCCGGCCTTCCAGCCTCCAGTGTTTCATGCAGAACTTTCTGTTAAGATTTGTCCTCATGCCACCGACGTCACCAGGTGGCTTTTCACGGAGCGTGGATGTCCTGGCTTTCTTTCTTCACTGCCAAAAAATCCATTTTTAAAAACCAGTTACAACAGCAGTAACAGAACCACTGCTGGGGCTCCTTTTGGCCAAGGGCCTTGGAAGCTGGGGGGGGGGGGCTGCCTGCATTCCGGATGCTGTGGGTGAAGACGGACCTGTCCACGGCTCCCTCAGTGGCCTCGTTGCCCTTGTTGGCTCCTGCCCCAAGAGCCATCTGCACCCCTCCCACGGGTACTTGGTGATGGGCATCTGGGGCCTAGGACCAGCACCACACCCTCAACTAAGGCGGATGTCAGGGACTAAATCGCCAGTGTGTCCCTCTGGGGACGGTGGCACCTCCATGTGCTGGCGCCCTGGTTACATGGTGACTATCCACATGGCCAGCAAGGGCTTGTCTTTGCAAACGGACAGACGTATCCCCAGGCAAAGGAGCTTCTGAGGGAGGCCTTGGGGTCTGTTTTCTAAACCCCAGTGTTTCTGGTAGCCACGCGCTCTCGAGTGCTGGTGACCCTGCCTGGGCTGTGTCCCCGGGGAGGCGGGCACGGCTGGCCCACGCAGAGTGGCCTGTGCCAGCCCAGCTCTCTGGTGACCAGGACGTGCCATCCACATGCACGAGAACAGTCCCATCCACGGAAGGGCAAGATGTGAAAGCCAGTCCATCCAGTGTGGGAACTGGTCCCCAGAGACCGTCAGAGAAGGCTGGTGGCCCAGCAGGGCTTGTGGGAGGTCCCGTCCCTGGACATGGCCCTGCCAACCTGGGAGGGCCTTGGGCCTCTGCCCCTGTGGGCGTGGACGTCGGGCAGGGCCGGGTGGAGTGGGAGCCACCGTAGCCAGGATGGTGACAGCTTTGTCTAAGAAACCTGGGAACACACAGAATGTTCCCAGTGGCCCACTTGTTCATGGAGAGCTAGAGGCGGCCACCAGCACAAGGAGAACAGAAGACACAATCTGGAACGTTCCTCTAGTGGGTGCTGGAGAACAGAGGACAGTAACGAACTAGAGCTACATGTCCTGACATGGACAGATTCCCAAAACAACGCTAAGTGAGGGAAAGGGGTTTCCCTCTTACAATCCCAAACTAGGCAAAACGAACCATGTTGCGGGGAAGACACACTTTGCTCAGAGGGCTGAGGGGAGGACGTCAGAGCCCCGGGCTCACAGGTCAGGGACCGTTCTTGCTGCAAACACGGGGTGGTCACACCAACCCGAACCCTGTGCTGAGTCCAAACAGACCACTCTTCCTCTGAGAATGAAAGCACTTCCAGAAATCTGACTGCGGGGGAGGGCTTGGAAAAATACGGAGTAGGAGAAACGCTCTTTTACAAAGTTATAAAATGCAAGAACCTGAAGGAAACTTCAGAAGGCCTGGTTTCATTTACCAGGATACCACCGAATAGGACATGGAGGTAGAAGGTTCTGGGGCCCAGTGCAGGCACCCGGCGGACGCCGACAAGGAGACAGGGGCGCTGAGGGGATGCTGCTAGGCGGCCCTGTGCGCCCTGACGGCCACGGCAGAAGGTAAGAGGACCCGACCCTCTCGAGAACCGGACTGGAGACCGTCAGACGTGACACCAGACGCTCCCCCAGAATTCAGGACGGAGGACAAAGGGATAAGGGGTGAGAAGTGACAGGAAGAGAGAACAAGGAACCCCAGAACGACGAGGAAGAGCTCAACAAAGCCACTTCCGATGAACGGACACTCGTGCGGGGACGGTTCCCAACCCAGAATCCCCAGGAGACAGGCCGTCCAAGAAACCCTGAGATAAGACAACACGATAAAGATAAAAATCCTGAAAGCATCCGGGAGGAAAGGGCGGGACAGTGGGTGGGGCTCGGCGTGCCTCGGGGTCCGCGCGCCCTGACCCGGTTGGGACGGGCCAGTGTCGGCGATGACTAAAGCCAGGAGGACTGGTGCGGCGCGGCGAAGACGGCTTTCGGGTCCGCGAGGGCTCGGGCAGCCCAACTTACCTTCTCAGGCCGCACACAACACACCAGAACTCAAATCACGAGGATCGTGAAACTGTGGTTAAAAAAGACAAGAGGGTCTCCCTTTGGAGCCAAATAGGGGCAAATTTTGCGGCGCGGGGCAGCTGCTCTGCCCACGGAGAAGGCGTCCGCACACAAGTTCGTGTGGAGACTTTCCCTGCAGCGACCACCACCAACGCGCCGCCCTCCTGCTCTTCGCTGCAAACGCTCCCAAACCTACTTGGAAAGACGGTGGGGCCGTGGCTGTGTGCCGGCCGCCTCAGTGGGGGGTGGGGGTGTCTCTGTGCGTGTCTGACGTCCCCGCAGCTCGCCCTTCGGCAGGGGACACTGCAGACGTGCGGAAGGCTGAGCGTCAGCTCGGAAGCACGGGGACAGCGCTCGCATCCCGACCCCCGTCTCTCCCACTGTGTGGGTCCGTCTGGCGCGAATCCCAGGCATCTCCTTCAGGAAGTTCCTGACAACTACGGACTCTCAAGAAAGCTCGTCCTCTCACGAGCGACGGTCGAGTCGCGGACCCAGGCCGCGTTGTCAGGCCACGTGCCTGCCCCTTGCCGTTGGTTTGTATCGCGACCCAAACAAGCCCCATGCGGGGAGCGGCTGGTGCGCTCCTTGGCTCCTTAACCATTAGGGTCCCTCCATTTCTTCCTTTTTTCCCCCTTAGAAATTATGTTTTAAAGGAACCAGCTTGTCTGTCTCTAGAAATTTCTGAGTCTGGATTTGGGCGCTGGGTTAGATGGAAACACGGAGGCACCGAGTGCGTGTCCCCCGGTAGGGGAGGCCGGTCTGCGGAGCTGCACGCTCGGGGTCCTGGAAAAGGCACCACCACAGGCACCGAGGGGCCTCGGAGGTCGCCGGGGGACGGCTTAGGAGGGAGGGAGCGAGCGCGTAGAGGACTTTCAGGGCAGCAAAACCACTGTTCGGTGCTGTGATGGTGGGTTCACGACGTCATCCATTTGTCTGGACTCACAGAACACCCACCACGTTACCCCAACGCAAACCACGACTCTGTTCAAGGACGCGTCCGTGTGGGCTCATCGACACAGACGCACGACCCTGCCGGGGGATACGGATAATGGGGAGGCCGTGCATGTCTCAGGGGGCCAGAAGACGATGGGAAATCTCCATACCTTCCCCTCAGTTCTGCTCTAAAAAAACAGTCTATTAAAATAATATGTATAAATGGACTAAAACAGCACATTGAAATGTTAATGTGGTTAAATTTAGTGCCAGGATTCTAGCTATTTTTCTTCCTCTTTGATGTGTGTATGTTAAAAGGTTGCAATGAGATTAATTTTAAAAAACAAGGGAAACGATTTCAGCCAAGTACAGAAAAGGCTGTTGTGTGACCGTGAGACCCGGGGGGCGTGAGGGTGTGTCTCGTCTCCTCCTTGGTACTGGTTTTCCAGCTGCGAGGCACTTTCAGGACAGAAAGCTGTGCGTACAAACCAGGCTGCGGCCTTGCACGAGCGCACACCCGCAGGCAAGCACAGGCGCCGGGCTTCACAGACACGACTCCACGCCGTGAAGCTTCCCGTGCACAGCTGTGCAAGTCCCAGTGCGTTCGGAGTGGCAAACCCTCCGGGCCAGAGCCTCGGCCGGTGCCGAGCAGGGAGCAGGGGTCCCCGCTTGGCCCCGACTCCGTGCCCCCTGCCGGACATGGCCTGCAGACCGGGTAGGGGCAGGGCTGTTTGGAAACATGAAAAACTCAGGACGGGAGATCCACTCACAGTCACGCAAAATTTCAACATTCTATTTCCCACAGAAGAAAAATTTCATTGAATTTCCAGTTTGATTTTTCAATGTTTGTAAATAAACGGCCTAGAATTTATTACCTACTCGTGCAAAGGTTTCTTGTGGACCGAGAGACCTCTCTTCCCATTCCCCAGCACACATCTCCTTACGGCCCTTCTCCGGACCACAGAGCTCCCAACCTGACATGCAGGGAAGCGGCTGAGTCTCCTGTTGCAGCTTCGGAAGACGACGCACAGGCTCTGTGTCCCCTGAGCAGACGGCAGTCGCCGGTCCCACCCACAGCCTCAGCCCGCTCCCCCACCCACCACCCCTCTGCTGCAGCGGGGGAGGCCCTGAGCCCCACAGCTCCCCCACCCAGGCTCCCGGGGGCAGGAGGGCTGGAGTCTGTTTAAAAGGTAGTTTTGTTCATTTAGGGCACAGACACGTTATGAAACAAGTACACCGAAGGCCAGATGGTTGGGGCAGGCCATCGAGGGCACCCCCAGCCGTGTTCCTGCCCAGCTGTCCCACAGGGCACGTCCCCACGTGGACGCCTGCTCCCGGCCAAGTCAATTCCCGGCGCCCAGAGGAAACCACCACCTGGCAGAGAGTCGAGCACCTTGAGGCTGCGGGAGAAGCCCGAGCAGCGTCACGGCCCCGGCCTAGCAGCTGAACTCACGACACGGGCGTCCTTCGTGGCAACAACTGGCCGACCTGTGTGTTCTCCTGCTCAGTTTAGCTTACGGCTGGGCCTCGCCTTCCCTCCCCAGACCAGCTTCTCGTGGTCCCAAGGCTGTGGTTTTTCCTTCCTGGTAACACCAGGTCCGGGTCTTTCCCTCAAATCCGGCCACAGTCATTTTCCCGTTGCTTACTGGGGTGCTTGGGATACCGGGGTATCTGAGCACTGAGGAGTGGCCTTGTCTCCCTCCAGGACCTGCAGGAAGGGGCCCAACCACCCGAGAAGGACACTACTTCTGTCCCCACCCTCCTGGGTGCGCAGGGCCCCCACCTGCCACTCGGGAGCCCACAAGGTCACCCACATGTGCCTACCGGCAGCAGCCCAGGGCCAGCCCCACGGCCTCTGCTCACACCCTTTTTATCACAGCTACCGATCAGCACCCGAGCCCTTTCAGAAACCATGGCCTGAGGCTGTCTGGCGTTTAAGGCGGAAACCTCCAGCTTCTGCGCTTCAGCACCGCTGCCCTGCCTCCGGGTCTGCATCGCGGTGCGCGTTACAGAGGCTCCTCCTTCCCACGCCAGGCCCTGCACACCGCCCTTACTGCCGTTGCGGAGAGAGGAAATCAACAGCTACGCTCACCTCCTGGAGAACACGGCCACGGCGGTGCCTCGATTGCTGGACGTGTGCCTGCCCGCCCGCCCATCCTGTGCGCAGGGTGACACCCCCACACTCCCCCTGCCCGGCACCAGACGTGCAGACGGGATCTGAGCATCATGCCCCATTGTGTGAAGACCCACTGAGTGCAAGTAGCAGAGCGATAGCCCAAACTCCTGGAGGGGGATTCAGGTTCTTAATGATGCCTGAGTGGCCAGTGAACACCTAGAACCAGCTGTACCTGAAGCTCCGTCCATCGCTTCTCCGACAAGTGAGTATCATGGCACGGTTACCTGAGCAGAGCCGTGATTCTGTTACCTGCGCTCGAAGGCAGTGCGCACGGCACACAGTCTTAACCCAGCCTGTTACCGCGGACTCCGCGAGTGGTCCAGAAAATGGGGAGGAGAGGCTCGCGCAGCTGATCTATGCTGGAGAAGGTGCACTCCGCCAACAGCGTCTTTGAGCAACACCTCAGACTGTTGCCGAGGTTCACGAACACATGCCGGGTCACCTGCAGCCCAGAGTCCGCCGCTGACAGGAGGTGCTGTACGGGCCATCTCAGAGGAGGTGGTGAGACCACCCCCACGGGCAGCGTGACCAAGGCTCGCACCCAGAAATCTCTGGGCGCTGTACCAGCTCCTCCTGGAGCTGCATGAACGCAAGGGCCCACGGGTCAGACCCGGACCCAGCGCCAGGGACCAGGTACCATCAGGCTGTGTGGGGGACACGCCGTGTGATGAACCGTTCTCCAGCTTCTCGGATAGGCTCGGAGCTGCCTGGGGTCCTGGGGTATCTCAGATCCAGCGCTTGTCACCTGAGAGCGGCCAATGACGGAGACCCTCCGCGTTCTCAACGCCTCGCTCCAAGTACCGCGAAGTCAGTCCCACGGGACGGCCTGCAGGACTGAGGCAGGTCTGTTCTCCCAGCGACACCCGCAGCGGCTGGACGCGCAGCGCTCTCGGCCCCCCAGGCCGCGGGGAAGGCCGGGCGCCAGCCGCTCCTGCTGCAGCGCACCAGAACAAACTTACAAAAAGGAGTTTTATTCAGTGAAAGAGAAATCTGCTCGGTGGGTCAACGCGAGATCGATATACAAAACTTTACACCTGAGTCCCGGGGGAGGACCCCGCGCCCCCCGCCGCCCGGCCCCCACTGTGCACTCTGGCTGCCGCCCGCGTCCCGCCTGCCCGATCCGCACCAGGCTGTGCAGGGGGCGGCGACATCGGCGGCACCCCGCCTCCCGGGACACCGTCCCTTAGAAAAGTAGACTTTCCATAGCAAAACCTCTAAAAACACCTATTTCTGCAAAATTATGTGGTTCTGTATGTGGAGCTCCGCAAATACACACGTCTTTCTGGAGAAGAGAGAACATCTGAGGGCCGACGCTGCTGGAGCCCTGCGGGGACGGAGCGCCCGCCCGCCCTGTGCCCCACAGGTCACATGAGGTCGTTGAGTTCTGCCTCAAGCGCCGCGGCCATCTCATCCGCCTCCGAGCTGCTGCCCTCCTCGTCCTCCCCGCTGGACTCCCCGCTGGACACGCTGCCGGCGTCCTCCTCGGGCAGCTTACGCTTGTGGCCCCTGCAAGACAGACGCAGACCGTGAAAGGCTCTCAGCAGGGGCAGGCACGCATGGCACCGCAGCACCCACGCCCCCAGCACAGCGTCCGCGCCCGGCACACACACACATGCGTCCACCCCGCAGGAACGCCCCGGCACCAGTGTCCATGCCCCGGCACACACAGACGCGTGCACCCCACAAGAACACCGTGGCACGCACACCCCCACATGCTTGCACACACGCCGCACAGCACTGTTCTCTGGGGAAGGTCACTGCAAAGCGCTGTCCTAGTTTCACGGCAAGAGCCAGCTGGAGTGGACGGCCAAAGCCAGCCGACCCCGGAGCAAGGCACTCGCTCTGTTCCCCGTGCCACCGGGCCCCGCAGAGACGACCCCACAGCAAGAGTCCAGCGCACACGAGGGAGTCCCAAGCAGGTGACAGGACAAGGCTGGGACACCATGAGTGCGGCAGGTGTGGCTGAGGCCCGATGCCCAGCCCTCCACCTGCGGAGCCGTGACCTGCCTTCTTGGTAGCACTCCAAGGGCCACCAGACGCGAACCAGGACGCAAAGCACCAGCAGAGAGGCCGGTCTGTCCGAGGAACCAGCCCGCCGCCCGCACACCTGGAAGCCAGGCGCACCCCAGGTGACCACACGGGGCCAGCACACGCTCCACTGCCCCCAGACTCCCCGCTCCCGAGTCCACGTCCACACGAGCTACCCTGATCACAAACTAAGGGCACGGAAGGTCTGTTTGGCAAAGTCACAAACACGAGGTCGGGGAGACTATCTGCATCACTAGGACTCATGGGACCGGAGACCGAGAACACAGAAGAAACTTTTGCAAACCGGTGAGACAATACACCACCCGTGAGAAACACTCCCGAACCTGAAAACAGCACCTGTCAGAGCTCAAGAAGGACAGAAACCCTGAGGACGACTCGGGAAGCAGGACTACGGCGTCCGTGCAAGGGCTCAGGCTGGCGACGGGGAGCGCGGGGGCTCATGAGCATGTGGGGCCGAGGCGTGCGGTGGGAGCCCTGCGTCCGTCCGTCGGACTTGAATCCCCCGTCGGGCCCAGACCAGGCCCGGGCGCAGCCTGACGGACACGCGGTCGGTAACTCAGCAGTGTTGCTTCTGGGCTTGCAAGACGTCCCGAGACAAGGTCCCTTCCGAGGATTTTACTTTCGAGAGAGAGTGCGCGTGCGTGTGCCAGCCAGGGGAGGAGAGACACAAGCGACTCCTCGTGCAGCCTGAACCGCGCGGCTCGACCCCACGGCCCTAAGCACAGCCCGAGCCGGAATCGGGAGTCAGTCGCCCAAGCGCCCAAACAGGCTCGCTGAGCGGAGAAGAGGCCGCAGCCACAGCACCCGCAGGCCGACCGCTGACCCGCTTCATGTGCGGGCGGCAAGGGGCTGTCGAGCGGCTGCAGGGGCGTTTTCGGTGTCCACACGGCTGACAACCCCACTAAACCCGTGTCCCGCGGGGCACTGCGCGGGAGGGCGAGCGTGGCTCGGGTGGGCTCGGTGCCCAGACCTGCAGGAACGCGTCTTGGCTGCCGGCACGCGGTGGAGGTCTGCCAAATGTGCCAGTGATTGTGAGAAAACCTGGGAGAACGCGGCTGGACCCCATCCTCCGGACACCCCGTCCTCCCGGCTCCCGGCCCCCAGCCCCGCCTCAGCCTGCAGCCGGAGAGCGCGCTGGGGGACGTGAAGGCTTGTCTCCCGTCGCCCCACGATCTACCGTCAGGATGAGCGCCCGGTCCTGGGCTTCCACCCGCCCCCGGGAGTCGTGGCCGGACCGGGAGCTCACCGCGCGCTGCGTGGACACACACCGTCACGCCGTCTGGTCCTCTGGTTTGCGCAGAGCCGGCCTCAGGAAGTGACAAACGCGACCGACTTCCCTCGTCGCCTCCTACGAACGGTCTGATTCTCACGGAGAGCCCCGTCCCCACCCAGGTTCCCTTTCATCCCTTTGAGAGCTTGAGGCAAAAAAGCAAAGACAGAGAGTTCCTGCTGCTGGGGACGGAGGCCCTGAGTCCAGGAAAAAGCTGGACCCACTGCTGTGAGGACGCGGATCAGAAACCCCAGGAAATAGCTCAGACGACCCCCCCAGGCAGAGGCGTGCCGGCGGGAGCGGGATAGCAGAGGGAGAGCTCGGGGAAGAGCAGGGACCCCTGGGGTCAGGACCAGGGCAGGCGGAGAAGCCGCAGATGGCTCGGAAAGTTCTCTCGAAACCCCCTTACTATGACGGTAATTTAGGGTAAAATCTTTTGTGAAAACCTTTCTTGTTTTAAAGAAAAATTTTATTCATTTATTGACAGCAAGAGTACACAAGTAAGGGAAGGGGGAGAGGAAGAGGGAGAAGCAGGCTCTCCGCAGAGCAGGGAGCCCAAGGCAGGGCTGGAACCCAGGACCCTGGACTGTGACCTGAGCCAAAGGCAGCTGCCTCACCGGCTGAGCCCCAGGCGCCCCGTGAACCTTCCGCCGGCTCTAGAACGTCTGAGGCCGTGGTGCCCGGTCGCGCTTGGTTAGTAACGAAGAGCAGAACTGAACTTTACTAATTGAGAACGACCTCGAGACACCGGAGTGGCTCCATTGTGCATCTGACCCCTGATTTTGGTGCAGGCCGTGATCTCAGGGTCATGGGATCGAGCCCCAAGTGGGGCTCCATGCTCAGCAGGGGGTCTGCTGGAGGCTCTCCCTCCCCCCAAAAACTCATCTCCAGAATTGGAAACGGGCGGCAGGTGACAGCCAATATGCCCCTCACAGCGCAGGGCTCGCGACACACTCACAGACGGACCCTGTGGCGAACGGAGAGCCTGGGACACCCAACTCTGGAGTCCGGCGGGAGCGCGACGGCAGCATCGGCACACGCTTCCTCCTCAACGTTCCCGCCTCTGAACGCGCTGCTGGCGGCCGCCCTCCGGCACCTCGAGCTCGCTGTCCCTGGCGCGTACAACGGGTCCCGCGACTGCGACAGCCGCGCACATGTGGGTGTCTAACGACGACCAGCACTCGGTGTCCACAAACCATGTGCTTTCCACTTGCCGGTTAAAGCGGCTTGGATTTTAGCAGAAAGAAAGGAGCCGCCGTGCTGCCCTCGGCGAGGCCACTGCCCGGGCAAACACACCTGTTCCGTGTGTGCGTGTGCGCAGGGGAGGGCCAGCACGTACGAGGCCCACTGGGCCGCTCCCTTCTCAGACGCGTGCGCGGCCCAGAGCACGTGTGGGCGCGCTGGGTGTCTCCTCACCCGTGAGCGTGGCTGCAGGGAGCCTGCCTTGCGCTGTGAGAGGGCACCCGGGCCATCCGGTCGCCTGACATGTGGGGTTAGACACCCTCAGCCTACAGGGTGGCCGTCAACTCCCCGCTGTGCGGTCGGCCCGCGTGGGGTGTCACCGCGGCTGTGGAAGGCAGCTGGGCCCAGAGCGTGCAGACGGCCAGGGCTCCAGGCTGGAGGCCAGGTCCCCCGTCCCTGTCCGCAGGACCCCTCAGCCGTGCGCGGGAGCTGGGCCACACTCGTGCTCGAGCTGAAGAGCCCACGCTGCTGTGAGGCCAGGCTTGTCCCGCATATGGTACAGGGGTCTCCGGGGAAGGGGACCCGTGTGGAGTGGAGGGCATGACCCCAGCCATGTCCCCAGCGACTGTGTCCATGGAGAACCTGTCATGGGGCCTGCTCCAGTGCAAAGCTCGGTGCCACAGTGACACCGAGCAAGGCAAGAACCGCCAGCCCGTGCGACCAGTTCACGGAAGGACCGAGTGGACATCCACGGCTCCCACTCAGAGACACAGGCAGGCACCAGAGCAGCACACGTGGGACCCGACCTGGCAGATTCCCACACTCCCGCGCCAAGCGCACCAGCTGCCCCGACGTGAGCTCAGGGACGTGGCAGCCTGTGCGGCCGGGTGTGCCGTGCGCCTCCTCAGGTCACGACGTGGAGAGCAAGGACGCTCGCAGCCCAACGGCCCGGCCGGATGGTCTCCGAGAGGCTCTGCCGCTTTCTCAAGACAAACGCCAGTTCGCGTCCCAGGAACCACGGAGGGGAGTTTTCACCAGCAGAAACCAGGGGAACCGCCGCATCCCCAAGACGGCCTGTGGGAAAGTCCCAGCAGGCAGCGGGGGCAGCGAGCGGCCCGGTCTGCGGTCGGCGTGCAGGCGTCCGGCCAGCGTGTTCGCAGAGGGAATGTTCTCCGGACCACCTCTGTGGCGACTGACTTTGAAAAGCCTGCCGACGGCCAAGACGACATCTGAGCGCCCTCACAGGAGCAGGAAGGCACCAGCGACCCTCCCGCGCTCCACAGCCCAGTCTCCTGAGCGTCCGGCCTGGCGGGCACCACGGCTGGCACAAGTGTGCACTCAGGCGCTCACCCCCACCCCGTGACCACTGCCCTCACGCTGCAGCCTCGCCAGCTGGGGCCAAGAGGGCGGGGTCCTCTCACGTGGCTCCTTCTCCCGACGGCGTGGGCTGCCGTGGGGGTGCTGGCGTGCCCCACCATCGTGTGTGTACGTGTGGGGGGTGACGGAGCAGCCACCGGTCTGCCTCCCACCTCTTGGCCCTCGCCAGGACGGACAGCGGTGGCCAGCCTGAGCGCTGCCCGCTGCTCACCCCGAAGCAGCACACGCAGGCCCGACAGTCGGTCTCTCTCGGACCACCCGACCTGCTCACGCCACAGGCTCGAGGGTGGTGCGGCTCTGACCCCGTTCGTCTCCCCTGCCCGCCGGGACGCCATGGAACGGGCAAGGGCTCCTCGCCTTTCCTCCCGACAGGGGCTGCGGCACATGGTCAGGATGGGTGGTGGTCAACCCGAGTGTCCCCCGGTCAGACACAGGGATGGACTCTTCCCTCTGCTTGGGCCCCGTCATTCATGTGGTAGCTACGTGTGCCACGTGTCCTCACGAGCCGTACACCGCACGTGATTTCACATCTCACACGTGAGCGGGCGGACGGAAAGCACACACACTCAGCACGACACGTGAACTCTCCCGTTCACTGTTTCTTCCGAGATACGTCGTTCCTCCTGCCTCCACCAGCCAACGGCTGTCTCCCCGCACTGCTCGCCCTGCAGACAGCACCGCACACGTCGTCTTACACGTCTGCTCCTGCTGTTGGTTCAACGAAGAGAGGAGAGACGCGAGAACTCCCGGTGCCGACAACTCCACGGCGCTCTGCGGCCATGCATCTCCCGTCTCTGCGTGGCTCCGCGGCTCGCGGCCAAGCACGTCCTCCAGGATGTCCTGTGAGGCAAGCTGGCTCCTGGCGAATGCTCTCCGCCGCGGGCCGGGGACGTCCTCCTCTTGCCTTCGTTTCCGACGGGGTCCACCTGCTGCTGGTCTTCTCTCCCACACCCGTGCGGGCCCGGTCTCCACAGCAGCTGTCACACGTGCCCAGTCCCTGGCCGTCAGCCCGGCTACCACGGCGCGTGCAGGCGGGGCTGTCTATGCCGACCACCTCCCTCCCTGGAGCTGGAGGAGCTTTCAGGGTGTGTGTGAGAACGCTGTCCCTCCGCCCTGGGAGCTCTTCTGCCCCTGCCCCGCCGCGTCCCCCCGGCACCCGCAGCCCCCCGCGTCTAAGCGCACAGCCCAGGCCGCTGCGTGCTCTTCTGAGAACGCTCACTTCCCTGCTGCGCTTTGCACCGCTGGCCGCTACTTGCTCTCACTCCACGCGGCTCCCGGGGGCCGCGCTCCCAGCAGCTTCTCTGGGAGTGGAAGCCGGCGGCGCAGTTCCCACGCTGTGGAGGCTGGGTTTGGCCTCTCGCCGGCCGGGGGTGGCCGCTGTGCACCAAGGGACCAGCTGGGCTGTCTGGGCATGAAGACCCTGTCGAGCCGCTCGGCCACGCAGACTTGGCGAGAGGGGCTGCCGACCAGACACCCGGCGCAAAGCCAGCCCTGCCTTCCCCACATCCCTCACTTCGGCACCCAGTCCCCGCGAGCGAGAATAAAATACAACCGGACACGCACATCGGCCAACTTCTCTGTTACAGGAAGAAACAAGGTCCGCAAACCCAAGTCACCCGCGATGGCTGATGGGGAGCCGCTGCTGTCTGACTCTGCTGCGGTCGGGGGTCAGAGCCGTGCGGCACCCCCAGAAGCCCCGAGCTCCCACCACGGCCACACGTACAAAGCTCAGGAGAAGCAAAGGAAGGCAGGTGGGAAGGAGCACCGTGTCCCCAGGTTTGGGGATGACGGAAGCCGGCTCGGACGTCCCACACAGCAAGCAGAGCCTGAGCACCGTCTGGGGGTGCCCTGCTCTCCTGGCCTCGGGACAGGTGTGGACACCGGGCGCTTGCTGGGGGCTCAGCCCCACATCCAGTCCTACTTACGTCTGCCTGCCCCCCACCCCATCACGTTGGAGGATTTCAAGCTTCTTGTCGCCTTGCTGGCACCTTTGGTTTCGACGTTCTCCACAGCACAGGAGAAACTTCCAGCTGGAAGCCGGATGGCCTCTCCCTGAGCAGGCTGACCACCGAGACGCAGGAGACCTCCGGGCCTAAGTCCACACTGCTCCACCCGCCTGCAGGGCAGAAGGCCAGCACCCGGTCCACGCCAAAGGCTCTTTCTGACCAGCCTGGAGCCTGTCGTCAGTGGGCACGGCCCCATGGACACACAGAAACGAAAGAGCACGTGCGCTCTGGGGCTTGGTGGCGCACCCACGGGCCCAAGAGAAGAGGACACTTCTGGTGGGCTCCACCCAGGCCTTTCTGAATCTCAGTGAAAAATACCTCAATTTCTTTTCCACTCGACGGGAAAGGCGGTGGCGGCGTCCCGTGTCATGGGCACCAGCCAGCACCTGCAGCCCCGGCTCTGCAGACCCCAAAGGTGTCCCTGCAGCGGGACGAAGACACAGCCAGCACCACAACCCGGCAAGGGTTATCGGCACCTCATGCAGCATTTTAAACAACTAGTTCCTAGAACAACTCGACAGGGCTTCGTGCCTGATCTGGAAAGCTCCGCTGCGTGACAGGCAGGACAGCAAGTGCGCCGTGAGAGGCGGCTGACGTCCTCCTGCTCCGCAGCCCGGCATGTCCACGGCCCTTCTTGGAGGGACATTCCCACACGTGGGGCCACGAATCTCTGCGCCTTCTCCCTGTCTGCTGTTGGGACGTCTGGCCCAGTCCTGCTTTGGAACTGGACTGCTCACGTAGACACCTCTTTTGGGCTGTTTATTTACCCACAGAACGTCTTGGGGTCAGACCCGATGGGTCTGTGAGGACTCAGTGGGGAAAGAGAAGAGCCCAGGCACGGGGCGAGCACACGCATCTGTGTTCTGTGTCGGCCCCGTGCACTGGCTGACCTACGGCGACCCGAGACGGCACCACCGACGCCCCCATTTCAGAAGAGGAAACTGAGGCACGGGAGCTTTGAAGGCAGGCCCACGTCGTGCGGCTGGGAGGAGGCTCTTGGGACGCGCGTCTGCCAGCTTCTCATCGTGGGGGTCGACTGTGGCTGGGGTGGTCCTGCTGAACCCCCGCGGGGCGTGAGCAGCCGGGGCTCTGACGGGGGGCGTGCAAACCGCCCAGCGCACGGGGCAGGGGCGCAGTCCTCCCCGCGGCAGATGGCGGGTGCCACCGCGGACACTGTGCCGGACAGAGCTGGAGCAGCGCCGCCTGCAGCTGAGGGACACGGTGCCCCCGCGCCACTGTCAGGCTGGTGGGGGCAAAGCCAAGGCGGCCTGTCTGGCTGCGCAGTGTCTGCCTCCCTCACGCACGGCCCAGGAAGCTTCCGGAAGACACGCCGACTCCACCAACACGAGGGAGCAAAGCAACGAAGTATTGATGCCATGAAGTGGGGACTGGAGTCTGGAGGTGGCGAGGCCCGTCCCAGCACGCAGCGGGGCCCAGAGGCAGCTCGAGCACGTGGGGACAGTGGCTCGGGCTTTGGTGGGATTGAGCCGAGCCACTGGGGTGGGAAGACTCAGAAAGAGGCAAAAAGGAAGGAAACTGAGCAAAGAGCAAATGAGGTGATCAGATCCAAGTGAGACAAAAAGAGGCTTCGGAGAAGGAGAACCAGCAGGCCACCCTCAGTCCAGGAGAGGACGGGGTCAGCGTCAGTGCTGGTGGGAAGGCGGCTGCGGCCCGAGCGTGCTACCCACGGACGGGGCCACAAACAACAGGGCAGGGCAGGCCGGAAAGTGGGCGCCGTGCCCCCACGTGCCAGCCATGGCGCCACCTTGCCCTCTGCCCCAGGCTGGCCCTGCGGGGTGCCGCCACTAACAGCACCCAGGAGGTGCTCCCCCGAGGGGAAGAAACTGGGGTCCGTGAGGAATAAACGGAAGCCACAAGACGTGGAGAGAAATTCCTGTCACCGAAAGCAACACCTTCTGGAAACGCCCAGGTCTGAGGACTCTGTTCTGACTCCGTCGCACCCGCAGACGTCTCCAGGCCGGGCCCCTCCCCCCAGCCCCTCACCTGGGCCCCCGGCTGCCTGTGGTGGTCCTCTCCCCGCAAGGCGTGGCCTGCAGCGTGGCCTGGGGCTCCCGGGGTGGGGGCCGCTCCTGCCGCTCCTCCTCTGGCCTCTTCTTCTCACTGTCGCTGTCATCACTGCCCTCTCCTAGGATGTCATCCACCTGGCGGAGGGGACAGTCAGTGCTGGGACACGGCCACCGCCCATCCCACGGCCCACGGCCCCCATCCAGTCCCAACCGCACGCATGCACTCCTGGCGCATGGGCGGCATGTCTGGGTGGTGGATCGGCAGCCGCCAGGCCCTCAGCTGTGGGGGACTGGGGGGCGCACAGCAGGTTCAGGAGGCGGAGGGAGAGCCGACAAGGCCAGGCTGCCTGTCCTGGGCTCCCAGCACCCCACATGTGACCCTGGTGCAGGTCACGCGGGCCCGGGCACACCCCACATGTGACCCTGGTGCAGGTCACGCGGGCCCGGGCACACCCCACATGTGACCCTGGTGCAGGTCACGCGGGCCCGGGCACATGTGACCCTGGTGCAGGTCACGCGGGCCCGGGCACACCCCACATGTGACCCTGGTGCAGGTCACGCGGGCCCGGGCACACCCCACATGTGACCCTGGTGCAGGTCACGCGGGCCCGGGCAAATCACTTCTTGGTGGCACGGTTCTGACGGGTTTCTAGCTGGTGCACGAATGAGCTTCGCGGTGAAAAAGGATTCTGTTAAAATGCTCGTGACCGATGAGCCGCACAGAACCACTGCTTTCCAGGAGGCGTTCTGGAGTGTCGGGGGGGGGCTGCTGCTGGTGGGGTCCCAGCTGTGTCCGGGGCTTTGCTCTCTTCCATAAGCTGCAAACTGAACCATTCGTGGACATGCCAAGCAAGGGCGATGGGGACTAGTAGTCATGGCCCTAACATCGGCCCTCACTGCTCCTCTACAGCGTGGGGCAGGTCTGCTTCCAGAGGCCAAGCGCCGGGCCCCCAGGGATGCCAGGTCCCCAGGGAGAGCCACCAAGGGGGGGCTCCCGGGGCTCTCCCACCAGAACAGCTTGGCTGGGCGGCCTCCTAACACCCATTCAGTCAGATGGAGCTGTTACATCAGATTTGGGGTGAGGGTCGGCCTTCCACCTTGGTCTGACCTTGGTCTCTCTGCCTTTCTCTCAAATTCACTCTGGTCTACTATTTTTTTTTTTTTTAAAGATTTCATTTATTTATCTGACAGACAGAGATCACAGGTCGGCAGAGAGGCAGGCAGAGAGAGAGGGGGAAGCAGGCTCCCCACTGAGCAGAGAGCCCGACGCGGGGCTCGATCCCAGGACACCAGGATCACGACCCGGGCCGAAGGCGCCGCTCACCCTGGTCCTCTAACACAGACACCAGATAACGACAGAGATCGGGTGGAAAGGAGAAAAGAAGGAACGGAGGTTACCCACGGCAACGGGACGGAAACGTCCCGCTAACTGCACTGCGTTCCAGAGCGCCTCTAAGGGCATTTCTGGGACACTGCTGCGTTCTCGAGGAGTGGCGCTCTGCTGGCACGACGGGAACCGCGATCCTTCTTTGTTCTAACCTAGTGTGTGACGGAGAAGCCGGGGGCGTCTCTGTGCCCCACGGTACCCGACAGCCGGCCGCCTTCCACAGGGGCGTGTGTGCTCAGGGCGGCCAAGGCCAAGGCGGACGCTTGCAGAGTGAAGTCCCAGGCTAGAAGCTCTTCTTCAAGGGCTCCGGAACGCCCCCAAGCGTACGCACGCCTGAGAAGTGCCGTAGCGTTCCAGGATGTTAACAGCAAACGTGTTAACTACGTCCCCGCGGACATCAACTTACTACAAAAGGCACCAAGTGGAGCGCAGAGGTGACCACACTAACCCACGCGCCGCTGAGTCCCGGGTACCGCACTTCGGGGTGGAAGGCCTCTCTTTCTCCTCAGAAATACGCACACAGAACAAGCGTGCGAGGACGTCAAACGCCCTGTAAGTCAACGGGATTAGGTCTTTAAGACTGCAAGTGGATCGTTATGTAACAAGGTTATCTGATGTATAAAACAGTGAGAGAGAGATTCACTGGCCTCCGTCCCTCTATCCTGACACAGCTCCCAGCGACACGGCAGACAGACTCTTGGTGGGCTCTGCACGGGGCGGGGAGCAGAAGCCTGGAGCCCTCGGCCCCAGCCCCATCGTCCAGGGAGGGGAGGGGCCCGGAGATGAAGGCGGAGGCTGGGCCTGGGGCGCTTCCACATCCGGGCAGGGCGGCCCACCCCAACTCCACGGGGGCAGCAGCTCCCCGGAGTGGGACCCCAGGTGGCTCTCCGTCTGGCGGTTCATCTGTCACGCTCTTTCTTACGTAACAAGCCGGTAGAGGTAAGTATGTGCGCAGAAGCCCTAGAGAAGCGTGGGACCCCAGGAGCGGGTGGTGGGAACCCTGATTCACAGCTGGTCGGTCACCTGTAGGGGTGACAAGCCAGGACCCCCGCCCCGTGACTGGTTATCAGACAAGGGGCGTGTGTGGGGGCAGGTGGCGTCAGAGCGCTTGCTGGGACCCCCGCACACGTGGGTGAACACAGACGAATCTGAACGGCCTCCTGTCGATCCACGTCTCAAGATGAGAGCCACGGGTGTGTGGGCCCCGTTTCCGCTGGCCACACGCGGCAGCCGAGGACAGAGCCGTCTGTGGGGGCCGAGCGAGCACACAGCGGCTTCCAGGCATTGTCAAGGGGAGAAAGGCCGTCAGATGTATTTAACTCACAAAAACCCACTGCGCAGTGCCCTGAGGCGGCTCCCGGCAAGGCTGGCCAGCAGCAGCCCCTCCCTACAAAGGCAAAGGGCACGTGCCCCCAACCCCCTGCACACTCGGGGACTGGGCTGCCCGCTCCTCACCTCCCCGGCCTCACGCACCCCAAAGCACCCCTGGGCTTCTCTGCATGGACTGTGAGGGCTCGGACAAGAAAGGTGAGGTCCCAGCGCAGCGAAGCTTCAACCCAAGACCAGTTCCGTCACCGCCACGCTGACCTCAGTGAGGGCGTGGAAACGGCACGGCGGCAGCCACGTCAACACGGCAACCATCGTCACGTCACTGCGCCATCCTCAAACGACACACGGGTTTCGCTCCTAAGCTAAGAGCATGTGCCAGCAAGCACGGGGTTAATTCTAAGAGCTATAGACGCTCACACTCGCACTCACACTCGCACTCACCCTGTGCCCACTCTCGGCTGGTGAGCAAACCTCCTGTCAGGATATCCTGTTGAATTTCCTCTCAAGACACTTCAGGCCTTTAACTCTGCATCGTACCTTTCCAAGAGGAAAACGAATCTAAAAAATCAGGTATCGGAAAGACAACCACAGCCTCCCGGAGACCGCGAGGTGCCCCGCGGGCGGCAGCACCATCCCCAAGCAGGAGCCCGTCGCCCCTCGCGTCTGCGGATGGCAAACCTGCGTGTGCGTCCGTCCTGCCGACTGTCGGCGAGACGCAAACGTTCTGCACCACCGAGGCTCGTGCGTACGGAGCAGCTGTCCCAAGTGACGCTTCCAGCTGCTCGGGCTCCTGCTCGACGCGGGCAAAAGGGTCTGTTTCAGAGCAAAGACATCGTTCCAGGCCTCTCCTTTACACAAGGGGAACTGGGCTCTTTGAAAACCAGTAATGTGTACTGAGCTATTTTGTAAACACTACTTGAACGATGCTGGGTAAAAACTTTAGAATCTTAAGGAAAAACCTAAAAGCCAAGTATGTGAAGAGAAAAAATTCGCTTTTTACTGAATTAACGATGGAAGTCTGTCAGGCCCACACGGATCCCGTCGCAGGCCCTGGAAAGCGTTCCCATCACCTCGTCTGGAAGACGCAGGACCGGGGGGATCCCGGACTCCTCATGGCCTCTGCCTGCGCAGACATAAGGCCGGCAAGCGGAGCACGGTGAAGAGGGAACAGAAACGTGCCCCAGGCTGGAAACGCAAACTTCCCGGTCACTCCCTGTGCCAGGCGACCTTCTCTCTTGATAGAATTGAAACATGCTCAGACACGTTAATGACTCCTTTCCCCAAGGAGGACACAGAAAGGGACAGAGGCGGTGCTGCCCCAGTCCGCGTGGGCCCGCACACTCGAAGCAGACAAGGCCGAGGCGACACCTGGTGTTCCCTCCAGCTTCAGGCCAGCAGTGCTCGTCACGACTCCTTCGGCCACGGCCTCCTGGACGGACTGGCCCGGGAGAGCCTGCAGGACAGGCCCCCTAGATCATGAGAAATAAATTAGGACCTGGGTCCCCGTTTCACTTTCCAACTAAAAAAATGCTGTTTTCACGTATTATCTTCAATCTCTAGTGTTTTCTCTGAAAGCTGGTGTCTGTTAACTACCCAAGCTGTCCGGAACGTTCACGACGTGGCTCGCAGAGCTTCCTAACGTGCGGCCCAGCACCGAGCTGAGACACAAAAGCCCTCACGGCTGCTGTCTGGTGAACTAACTTGGGGAGCTTACTGACCCACATAAAGCCCTGAACGGCACAAGTGAATCTGCGGGTCCACGAGCTCCTGCTCCAAACAGAGGCGTGTGAACAGAAGGGTCACTTGGCAAAGTCACGGTCATGTCCCTGCCCGATGTCCCTGCCGGACTCCAGTCTGAGGAAGAAAGCCCAGCGGGCGTGACCGCGAGGCCGCACGCGCGTAAATGAGACAGCACGGGAGGTCCGACTGCTGCGAGGGCTGAGGACACAAAGGAGACGTTCCAGCTGTCAGACAAGCAGTAAAGCTCTGCGGGCACGTGCTGCTCCTAAAGTGTGCCCACGACACCTAGAATGAGAGACCTGCACGACCTAGCCTCAAACAACTCTCTGCACGGTCTCCGGCCGTCTCTTCTGTGCACGTGTCTGCCCATGAACACCGAGTCCTGCCATGCGCCCGGTCCCTGCGCTCCTGCCCGGGAGACATGCTCCCTGAACACGCACGAGGACTCCCGGCGCTCCGCAGGGCCGTCGTCGAACACAAGCCTTCTGCGCATGGCCTGCTGTGGTCCTGGGGAGAAGGGAGCCACGCGGAGACACAGAGCGTGGACGACACTCTGCTTTATGAAATTCTACGACTGGCCAGACTGGTCTGTAGCATCAGAAACCAGTGAATTGATGGCTTTGACCAAGTTCCTGGGGTCTTCAGCCACCACTCCTCCAAGCATCTGCCCCATGCCCCC